ATATAATTCTAATCATTTCACATTATTACGTGCCAGGCATTATTCTAAACATTTTACATCTATTAGTAGCTCATGTAATTGTTTTAACAGCCCTCCAAGCTCCATACTATGATTATTCCTATTATGCAGATTAAGAAATTGTAAGTACTGGGTTATAGGGGAAGCCATGATGCATTTTTGTATAGGAAAACATAGAAAACTAAGTCATGGCTTTCCTGACAACCTCATACATAGAGAGGTTAAGAAACTTGGCTTATCGGGGCCAGCAGGTGGTAAGGTGGTCAAGGCACTGGACTCTCACATGGTTCACGTCTCAGACCAAGCAGCTTGCTTTCTCACTTTCCCTCTCTCTGTCTTTGTCTCTTCTTGCTCAAATTAAATATATATGTGTATATATATATATACACACACACACACACACACACACATATATATATATAATAAAATGTAATAATTATTAAAAAGAAACTTGACTTGTGAAGGTCACATAGCTAATTTGTTGGTGAAGGTGGGACTTGAACTCAGACATTCTGAGACTGTTCTTACCATTTTGCTAGTATTATATAAGGACATTTTCTTCACAGAGTTGCATCATGGATTCATTCTCAACTTAATCATTCATCTTTGTATCCTCAGCATGTAATGAAGTGCCTGCTTATATAGTAGGCCAAAAAAAATTGAATTGATTATTAAAACCACATCAAATAGTTAGTTTTGCTTTGCTGATTTAGATTTTTCATGTTTCCGCATTATCTAAAATGTTTAATGAATTGAATAATCTTATTTAGGTATTTTTTTCCATATTCCTTGAAGTAAATTAAATGGCATCAGTTAGCTTTGAAAAAAATAAAGATCTGCTTAATTGCTCTCTTAATACATATGAAGAACTTTCACGAAAAACCTGCAGAAATGAAGGTAACACATTTAATTCTTAGATCGAGGCAAAACATTGTAGCTAATCCTTGAATTTTTTTTTTGAGAAGGAGTTAGTTGCCGAGTTCAGAGACTTGTGAAAGTAACAGAAGTGTTTTCCAAACAGCTGAGACTGAAGGTGGGGAACTGAGTAGTGTCCTGAAAGGAATGCCCCCCGAGACACACACAACATCACCCCGCCTGTAGCCAGCCTTGGGACCAGCCAAGATCATTGGTGTCCCCATGGGCATGCTTGGCATGATCAAGTTGGCCTGGGATTTGAACCCTGAATCTTCCTCTCTAGCTCCAGCTGTAGCACCCACTATTTTTGTTAGCATCACTGGGCCACTTTTGCTTATTTAATTTCAGTTTGACACCAAAAAATATCTGACAGAGTACACATTTTCCCAGGGAGAAACCAGAAGGTCAGGATAGTTAAGTTCCATAACTTGAAGAAGCAAGTTGTACCAAACTCATCAGGTTATATGTATTAAATATATATGTACAGCTTTTTTTGTATGTCAGTCTTCTTCAGTAAAGTAAGTTTAAAAAAAAGAAAAGCAAGTCATACCAACAGTTCTTCTAATCATTTCACATTATTACGTGCCAGGCATTATTCTAAACATTTTACATCTATTAGTAGCTCATGTAATTGTTTTAACAGCCCTCCAAGCTCCATACTATGATTATTCCTATTATGCAGATTAAGAAATTGTAAGTACTGGGTTATAGGGGAAGCCATGATGCATTTTTGTATAGGAAAACATAGAAAACTAAGTCATGGCTTTCCTGACAACCTCATACATAGAGAGGTTAAGAAACTTGGCTTATCGGGGCCAGCAGGTGGTAAGGTGGTCAAGGCACTGGACTCTCACATGGTTCACGTCTCAGACCAAGCAGCTTGCTTTCTCACTTTCCCTCTCTCTGTCTTTGTCTCTTCTTGCTCAAATTAAATATATATGTGTATATATATATATATACACACACACACACACACACACATATATATATATAATAAAATGTAATAATTATTAAAAAGAAACTTGACTTGTGAAGGTCACATAGCTAATTTGTTGGTGAAGGTGGGACTTGAACTCAGACATTCTGAGACTGTTCTTACCATTTTGCTAGTATTACATAAGGACATTTTCTTCACAGAGTTGCATCATGGATTCATTCTCAACTTAATCATTCATCTTTGTATCCTCAGCATGTAATGAAGTGCCTGCTTATATAGTAGGCCAAAAAAAATTGAATTGATTATTAAAACCACATCAAATAGTTAGTTTTGCTTTGCTGATTTAGATTTTTCATGTTTCCGCATTATCTAAAATGTTTAATGAATTGAATAATCTTATTTAGGTATTTTTTTCCATATTCCTTGAAGTAAATTAAATGGCATCAGTTAGCTTTGAAAAAAATAAAGATCTGCTTAATTGCTCTCTTAATACATATGAAGAACTTTCACGAAAAACCTGCAGAAATGAAGGTAACACATTTAATTCTTAGATCGAGGCAAAACATTGTAGCTAATCCTTGAATTTTTTTTTTGAGAAGGAGTTAGTTGCCGAGTTCAGAGACTTGTGAAAGTAACAGAAGTGTTTTCCAAACAGCTGAGACTGAAGGTGGGGAACTGAGTAGTGTCCTGAATTCTGGTCTTTTCCTTTTATTTCAGTAACCCCAGTCTTAAATTTAAGAATGCAGGTGTTATGCTAATAAACATACACAAAACATTCTGTTGCTCTGTTAACAAAGATGATTTAAGAGTACCAGATTCGAATGTTAAGGAAGGAACTTAATAATAAAGGACCTTGGAGTAACTTAATAACGACCATAGCAACTGACATGAAAACTAGGATTAATCAAGTCCTTTGTCATAGTAACAGTAACTCTGCCTGTGAAATGGGAAAGCCTGGAGTACTGAAAGGTTGTCAGCCTTTGAACCTCTCTCTGTGAACCAGTCATACATTGCCACATGTAAAATATGAACTGGGATAGTGTTACTGGATAAGGGAACGTAGTGACAGAGTAGTATCACTATATGTTTAAGTATATGTTCACGTATGCTTATGTTTCACTATGGAAAAGGGTTTTTGCAGAAGAGGCCACTTTGGAATGCCTTCATTGTCACCTTATATCTGAACACAAAATGTAAAGCTATGGCTAAAATCATTTTAAAAACATTTTTAAAATTTTTATTTTTATTTGACCAGTGAGGGACAGAGTGAGAGACAGAGAAAGAGGGAAAGTAAGAAAGCAAGCCACAAGGTTTAGGACTCAAACCAGTCAACCGTGTAGGAGTCCAGCACCTTTCACTACCACGCCACCTACCAGCCTCATTTTAAAAACATTTTAAGGGAAGTACTAAAAGCCAGTGCTAATAAAATGAAACTTCTATCTCAGTATTTTTATATACCAAAGTAATGTAGTCTACATCCTTCATCTATAGGCAAGATTTGTCTTTTTAGAGTCTGGCTTAGTGTGTTTGGGTTGCTATGACAAAGTACTTTAGAGGGGTAATTTATAAACGACAGACACGTGTTGCTCACAGTTCTAGAGGCTGGGAAGTCCAAGATCAAGGTGCCTGCAGATTCCATGTCTGAAGAGGGCTTGTTCCTTGTGTGTGGTGCTTATTTTGTGTCCTCACAGGCAGAAGCTTCAATCCTCTTTATAAAGACCTCAAATCCCGTCTATGTCCTCATGACCTAATCACCTCCCAAAGGCTTCACTTCTTGACACTTCAGTGGAAATTAACTTTCAATATATGAATTTTGAGAGGACACAAACATTCGATAGAATCAGTAAACTTTTCTGTGTGAGAAAGAATTTTATGGTATTGTTGGTTTGTTTTTTTCTTTTTTGGGGGAGAGGTTTTTGCTATAGGTCACATGCGCGCGCCAGATAGACAGAGACAGAGAGACAGAAAGCGAGAAATCACCCCCGGGGGGGATGGCCACACTGCAATCCCTTCTCCTCCATTCTCCTCTCGGGATCTTGGGCACCCACACACGCATCCAGCGTGAGTTTTAAGCCCCCGGGTCCGGGACGTGAACCGCGGTTGACTACGTGGGAGTCCAGCAACATAGCCATTATACTAACTGCTGGTCTGTTACCCCCCTCCCCACGTTCTGATCTGCTAAATTTGTCATAATATCTTATAGAATATGTGGAACCTGCATCTTATCTCATAGTCAAAATGAATGCGTCTGCTGGTTTTTTAAACAGCATTTCTGTTTCCTAATGGTGTCTATCAATGTTATCATGTTTTTTTGTTTTGTTTTATTTTAGAAACTGAGTTTTACTGTAATAGAGCAGGTTGAACTGTCTCATTAACTACAGAAATCAGAATCAATGGGATCTTTCTCTGTGGGCCTTGCAGAATCATTTTTAAGGATTTAAAGACATGGAAGGTCTTGAACTCTTCCACATTTTGCTTCTGTTCTGACTGCTCTCATTTGTTAATGAGAAGTTCTTTCCATCCCTGTTGCTGACTAGATTAAAAAACAAGCAGGTGCTTGTGAATACATGCCTAAAATCCCAACAGGATGGCGAAATGGAGAAGGGATTGTGGTGTGACCACACCCAATGGGAGAGGTGCTTTCTCTCTCTCTTTCTCTCTCTCTGTTCTCTCTCTCTGGTGAGCACATATGCCCACTGACAATTAACAAACAAAACAAAACAGTAAAAGGTAATATATAGCAACAAAGCCCAACATCTTTTTCTGTTTTTCAGCATAAGAATTTTAACAGTCGACCCAAAATAGATACACACATATACCTGGGATCTTGATTAATTAGGAAATAGTTTACTGTTTTTATGTTGAGGTTTTTAATTACTTGAGGAGTTATTTAAAAATGAGAATGTGTGTGTGTGTGTGTGTGTGTGTGTGAACACATGCGCATGTATGTTCCTGTTTGTGTTCATGTATTCTTTACTCTGGTGTAGTCTTTATTGTGGAAGGGGAATGATGACCCTGTTGTATATTGGCTATTGTGTGTGACTATAAAGCTGAAATTGGTCTTTCTATGATCTGTTCTTCTATAGAACATTTATTTTATGAGTTTTTATAATCATGAATAAGGGCATAAAAATTCCCAGTAACTAAAGCAGTGTTAATGGATGTTATGTTTTGATTTGTATTAACTATTATAGATCACTGTCTAAACTAAATTTATGTATTTTTATGCAGGTTTTCTTGTCTTTTTAAGATGCTTGAAAAAACAAGAGGATACGAGGATCTATCTCTGGAAGAACAAAAATGCAGGCATACTCAGCCAGAAATCTGAGTTGTGTGAGACTTGGTAATGAGATGGACAATCAGGCAGGGAAAAAACCCTGCTGAAGAAAGGACAGTCACTGTAGAACTCAGTGTACCAAACATGCATATAAAGGACACACAGGGATTTTGAAAATGCTGCACATCCCTTAATCATCATCTACATAGATAATACCGATAAACATTTTGTATTCAGACGCCAAAGTTAACTGATTTAAAAAGTTGATTTCATTACGTTCTCTAGAGCTGCGCAACAGTTGTATTTTGATTTGCTTTCTTTTTAATTTGGGGTCTCTTTATTTTCCCCAATGTAGTATTTCTACATTCATTTAAAATGAAAACCACACAATTTACTTCTTATAAATTAAAATTTTAAATGTGAAACCAAGAAATGTAATCAAGCAGTAAAACATTCTCTGAATATAGACTATGATCTCAAGTCCTTCTATTTTCCCCCCCAAGAGTGGAAAATAGATTCTACATAGGAAAGCTAAAATATGTTAATATTTTTAAATTAAAAGTTTAATATTATCAGAATACAGTCCAAAGAGTAAATTACGTTACATAATTACATTCTAATTAAATATAGAATTGTCTACTGAATTGCAGTTTATTAAATATATCATTTCCTCTTAAAACTGCTCAATAGTTATTCAGCAGTGAATCATCTTGCAGCTATGCAACTTTTTAAAAATTACAAATTACCAATTTTACGTGCTGCCAGCTACAATAATTTTGTTTTAACGGGTATCTTTTGTTTATTCTCCTCATGTAATTATTTTATTGTGCTTTGCATCTCTAGGCAGTTTTTCCACATTTGGGTAAAATGTTTAGCAGGTTTGTAAACTTAATAACTTATGGAAAAGGTAAAATAAAATTTTCTGGAGTGAAACTTGGAATAGTTTGAGGGACATTTTATATACTTTTAAAAATCAGAATTTAATTGGGATGCCAGATTTATAGCAATTTGCATTTTTAATTTTCCAGGTAATCTGGAGGTTAGCATTTGATAAATGATTTTTTAAAGCAAAGATGATTTTGTTAATTTATAATTTATTAGTGTGTTGTTATTGTACTTGAACATGTTATAGAGGCTTTTAAATTCAGTCTCATGTAGAAAGAAATGTATTAAGCAAAATTATGTGAATAAATATTCCCACAAAATTTATGTGAATGGTTAAAAGTACTGGAAGAGAGCTATCAGGGCTACAATAGTGAATGTCGTCTTTCTTCTTAATGTCAAAAATACTGATGAGTAGCTTGCATGTTTTCACCATAGGGAAAACATTTAATGAGTTTTAGGCAGTGCACTTTACTTGGTGTAATTGAAAGTTGCACAGCACCATTTCTTCAGTTTAACCTTTCTTTACTCTTCTTTTTTTCTTTTTTCTTTTTTTTTCTAAATGCGAGAGCACACATGCCCTTGCCAGAGAAAGAGAGAAAGCACTCCTCGTTGGAGCATGGCCACACCACAGCATCTTCTCTGTTTCTCCAGCCTGTTCGGATTTGGAATACACACTCACACCCTCACATGTTTGTTAAGCCACCAGATGGAATCTGAACCATGATTAGCCATGTAGGCCCTGTCTCCTTTAACCACTAGGCTATAAGGCCAACCTTTAATGTATTTAAGTATTTGTTGGTTATTGTTGTTTTATTTAACATTGCTGCTCTTATTTTTTCTAAATTTTTTCCCTACTCTTGCTTCTGTTTCATATTTTTAAAAGGGCAAGTACAGGAGCAACTGCTGCTACCCAGAAGAATTTGTGTATTATAAATAATTAAAAGAGTTTTTAATTGCTTTCTGTGTGATGCTAGATCAGATAACATTTTTCTTAAATTATGCTGTGAAATGCCTTTTGTTATGCTGCAATTGCTAAAAGAATCCAAAACCTCCATTGTGAGAGCTGACAGCACAGTTTCATAGGTGCTTTTTAACCAGTCCATGGAAAATATTCTTGAAGGGAAATACTCCACTCCTTCCTTAAGTTTTTTCTGTTTTTATGCAATCTTATTTGAATTTATTTAATATTTTCAATTTTGTAGACTTTCACACCCTCTCACACAAGCCCTCCCTATGAAAACTTTAGAATATGAATAATTGATTTATTTTCTACTGCTGATATGTTATTGTGATAAGAATTATTTTGTTTTCCATTTTTTTTTTATAAGAGAGAGTTTTGCCTTAGGGCATGAGTGCTGGCCAGAGAGAGAGAGAAAATCCCCCTGATCTAGCTCCTGGGGATGGCCACACCACAGTCCCTTCTTCTCCATTCTATTTTTGAAATTTTGGGCATGCACTCACATGTACCTGGCATGAGTTTCAAGTTGCCAGGTCTGAGTCCTGACCCCACAGTTAGCCATGTGGGAGTCCAGCGCCTTAACCACTATGCCACCTGCTGGTCCCTTGTTTGCCATTCTTAAAGGAAAAGATTTATTGCAGCTGTGGTTATTAACTGTTTATATTTTCCTGGGAGTTGATATTCTAATACAGTACACTTGCTAACTTTTGCTTTTTAAACTAGACTAGCATAAGTTCACTTTTTCTTCTTTGTCCTGTACCATATTCTCAGTCTTAATAATTCAGCCTCTGTTTATCGTAAGGTTCTATGCTGCAGCTGCACCTGTGCTTTTAAAAACAGTTCGGTGTTTATCAGTGTCGAGTGCTACTTGATCATTACATTTGTCTAGAATGGTATTTGCTAAATCTGTTTATAGCAAGTCTGTTTTTGTTAAAATTTGCAGAAGTTGGCATTTTTATTTTAAATTCGGCCTTCATGAATGACTTCCTCAAAAGAGCAATTGAAAAACTGAAAAAAAAATGTTTTTAAGGCATTTATTCTGGGTTTTAGTCAAAACAAAGTTCTTATTCTGAAAAATCATGAAAGTAATTTTCTATATAATGTTACTTGTAGTATTTTAAATCTATAATGCAGACACTGAATAGTATAGGTGGGACATACTTAGTGGGACATATCACATTAGATATTTAAATATTTAGCTGAAACTACTGACACCTAAGTATTACAGAGACAACAAAGCCTAGGTTATTAAGTTGGTAATAGCTTTCTGTTGGGCTGTCTGGAATATCATAATGTATTTTTGGAGAGAAATACATAGAAAAATACGTCATGACTTTCCTAGTGACCTAATAGAATCTTTGTAAATATTTGTCTTCGAATGAGATCACACTTGCGTATATAGAAAGCAATATGTTCTGAAATTTCACGTTAGTGCCACTTTGTCTATATGGATTTATTGCCAATTTTGATTCCTCTATTTTGACCTGGCTTCTTTTTCTTTTCTTTTCTTTCTTTTTTTTTTTTTATTTTTTTTTATTATGCCAGGATGTTTAAGATGAAGTAAAATTATTCTGTCTTACATTTGCCAGAAAAATAGATGAAGCATAATCTTAATATATGTTTTTCAGATTTGGTTACAAATCATTATAGATTGTGTTTTAAGAGCAATGTTTGTGATTGAAATATAAATGATGGTTTTTATAACTTTTTGTGATAGCAAAAACAACATTAAAAATCGTGATGTTAATTGTTGCATAATATGTAGGTTTTGGTTTCTTAATACAAGTCATATTTTTTTTTAAGATGTTATAGTTATCTCAATTTTCACCCACTAGACACTTTACCTAGAATGTAGCCCCAAAAAGACTGAGGACCATCCCTCAGAATATCTGCAGTATGCGTTTCAAAACGATTTCAGTTTGAGTGAGTTCATGAAAATGGCTGATTCTTTTTCAACGTGTATTTCACTCACAATTGTGTTTCTAGGTTGGGGTATAGTGAAGTTTTAGAGCAGTCACTTAAATTAATATAGTGAGACATAGGGGAATTCCTTTTAAGTGAAAAAGACTGTAAATTCAATGTAAATATTACCTAATTTTATGTACTAACTTGGAGAGTAGAAGAGGGAGATTTTCTCAATAATAAGTCACATTTGAAGAAATCATGAATATCTGTTCTTTAAAATTCAAGAATAATCAAATTCACTTTCTGATTAACATCTACGCTACACATCTTATTCTTTCACAGAAGTTTCTTTATAAACTAGGTTACTGGGAACTGTGTAATACTATATACAGAGAGAGAAATGGTGCTTATTAAATTAGTACAGTTTGGCAGTAGCCGGAAGTCTTCTAATTCATTTAGGCCATTTTCTTGCAATTTTGATTTATCCTGAGTATACTCAGTATATATTGACAAGGATTGGTTAAATGTGAGGTGTCCCTTTTTGAGTGTCCCTTGTTCTTGTACAGATACTTTCTTAGCTTTAAAAAAAAAAAAAATCTAGCATGCCAGTATGTTGTCTTTTATTCGTTCTCTTTTTTTCCCCTGAAATACGTAACTTCCAATTTGTTCTTTGCTATGTCCTCAACAACTGTAGTTACATGATCTGCTTTACTGCCTACTTTTCTGTTTCACCGATGTTTTTATTCTAAATCCAGATTGCTGCTTGGTTTTCTTTAGAGGAAATTGCTACTTGGTATGTACTCCTAGTAGTGATTCATAGTCAGAACAACTGGTGGAACTTTGTAATAACTCAGGAGTACCGTATTCTGTGAATGCTTTGCTTAGGCGAGGGAGCTGAGTATTCTTTTCAAATCACAGATTTCATGTATTAAATGGGAAATACCAGTCCCCAGAGTCAGCTGGTTTTCTGTGGAAAGTAAAAGGTGTTGAAGAAAACCAGATTTAGTTTTAGTTGAAGATGCAGTTTTCTGTCCCCGGGGAAGTTGGTTTATGTTCAGATATTTAAGCTATCATTCATTTCATAGACTAGTGCCTAATAAGATAATTTTAGGATTGCTTCTTTCTACAGAGGCAAAGAACAACATGGCATGAACAAACATCCCAGAAATACATTTGAAATATTAAGTGATACTGCAGTATCTGTTAAGCAACATTGAGTTTCTTAGTTTTAGACAATGAGGCACCTGTCATGACCCAAGCCTTAGCACCAGAAGTGACTACCACATTACTATATTCTCATGCCTTCCTTTGCTGATTTGGTGTGTTGAGATTTGCTGTGTACTGACAATTTATGTTTTAATAAACTTCAGTTCTATCTGCAGCTTGTTATCAGTAAACCTGGTGCGAGAACCTCAGAAAGGATTCGCTGTCGGTGGCATTTTGAATACCTGTGTATATATAGTGTAGTTAGCCGACCCTGTAGGGAGAGACTAGACACTTTGGAATTTGATGATATGGAATTTTATTTATAGCATTTTGTTACATTTTATTTCTTTGCAGTAACCCTTCATCTTGGCTTTATTGTTTGAAAATCGTGACAATAATAGATACTTAAAATCTCTTTCGCTTTATTCATGGACTCCACACCTCTTTCTGTAGTACCTCTTTTTTCCCCCCCAGAAAGTTATCTTTAATGTCTACACTAAATAAATAACATTTACACCCAAGACAAAATTATCATAGGTTTTCATCCAAGTAAAACATACAGAGGTGTATCAACTATTTCAAATTCTAAAATCAAGCATCTGCATATAATCAACTTGATTAATTTTTTTCAAATTTCATTATTCCTCCTTAAATAATTTCCATTTCAGTATTGGACAAAACAGATACTAATGTATTTATGTAAATTACCTTTAAAAACATAATATGGCTTTAAAATCTTCAACTATTTCTGTGTAATAATAAATGAGCACATTTTAGTCAGTATTCTGTCTTACCGATTGTTCTTAGTTCAAGTGAACACATTGTAATTTCCTCTGTTAGAAAGTATTTTCCTGTTTGGGGGCCAGCAGGTGGTGTAGTAATTCAGGGCACTGGACTCCCACATGGCCGACTGTGGTTCGAGTCCCAGACCTGGTGGCTTGCTTTCTCATTTTCCCTCTCTCTCTCTCTGGTCAAATTAAAATAAATGAGTGAATTTAAGAAAAAAAAAAGTATTTTCCTGTTTAAAAAAAAGATACAAAAACATCAATCGCAAGAAATAGAGAAATGGTTTAGGCATAGCTTTTTAGTATATTCTAAACTAAAATGGAACAATTTATTGTTGATGTTTTAATACATAAAACATCCAAATGATCTTGTTAAATTATGCCATTATTTAGAATTAAAAAATAATAAGAGAAGAATGTCTTCAAGGAAATTTCTCATCTTCTCCCTGATGTCTAGAAGTTGACAATGTGTTACAAAAAATTGAGAAATATCTGGAATGCTGAAAAGTTACCATGAATTGAAATTATGGCTTCTTTATTTTTGTATACCTTTTCCCATAAAATTGAATCCAAAATTAATAGTAAAAATTTTGTAATAGCTTAGGAAGTTAACTGGTAGTAATGGACAGTAAGGTTTTTCTTTCATTAACCATGTTAGTAAAGATGTACTTTGAAATTTCTAATGTGAAACCTGCTTGTAAATTTTGTTATTGAAATATGATTGGAGAGCTGTTAACTTTGGAGGAGGAATGATCTCGTGCATATTCATTATTTTTAAAGTTTAGATTGTATTTAGGAACATTCCAGTGTATTTTGAAGCACAGTTTACAGGATGTAGGAAGTACTGAGCTTTGTAGTGTAGTGGTTAAGAACGTAGGTTCAGGAGTTAGTCTGGCTAGTCTGATCAGCTCTGGACATTGGGCAGGATAATTTTTCCAGGGCTTCAATTTTGTAAAAAGGAGTAATGTTATTTCCTGCATCAGAGTTCTTGTGGAGATTAAATGGGGAGATATGTATGTGCAAATACCAGCCACACAATAATGTCTGTGGCTAGTATAAACAGTAAAAATGTGTATCCAATTATGAATAATTTATGTTACTCTCTTCAGTCACAAGAAGTAGTAGTAATATCTAAGACTACAACTGATACATTTAAAGAAATGTAAGTTATAATAGAGAACATAATGGGGTCTGATTTCCATTCTTACTAAAATCTATTTTACTATTTCAAGCAATTACATACACATTAAGCACTATTT